CCCTTGTTTCATTTGCATTAAGGAGATAACAAGCCAGAATATTAACCTGAGCCTTTTCTGCAGCCACAGAGGGAAAGGAAAACTCCACCCCACAGGAAAGGAGGCTCTGGGCTCAGTGGAGACCTCGAACAGCCTCTCACAGAGCGGGGTGGTCCCACATCTCCAAGTCCTTGGACCCCTCACTGGTCCAAACACACCCCCAAATCCACGTGCTGAGGAGGAGCCCTCCCATGGGACAGATGCCAGCACAGGAAAGACATGCCAGACCCCCTATTTGGGCACCACAGGGCATCCTTCCAGAGGATGAGGATCCTTAAGCATTCCCAGCTGCAACACATCCCACAGGCCACGCTTCAACATCACTCCTTTTGCAGAGGAGACCAAACCCTGCCCAAACCCCCTGTGACTCTGATCCTGCTGGTTCAGGGACCAATGATCTGCCCTAAAACCACCACAGCTGCACCCAAACGGGTGCAGGAGAGGCAGCAGCTCCCTCTAGGCACAGGCGAGGAGCAGAGCCCACATTCCCGGCATTCCCACTGTCCTTTCTCCTCCAGTTGTGCCACCTGACCTGTCCCAACTCCACCCCAAGGCTCCCAAGGAGCAGCCACCCTCTCTCTGCACCCACCACTCCCCAAAAAACCTGCTTGCAGGAGCACAGCACCCACAGTCCAGGTGGGAAGAGCAGGAGTTGGGGGGTCCCACCGCTGTGGACCCCCCCAGGAAATTGGGCAGGCCCAGAGGAAGGGGCCCAAAACTGAAGCAACAAGATGTACCCGTCTCGTGGTACCTTCCTTTCCCTAAATATTTGCCTCGGGTGCCTCAGCTGCCACACGCAGAGGGAACAGGGGACAGAAAATTTTGGGGCTCCGTGAAAAATATCCAAGTAGTGGAATCACCCTCCAGGACCAATGCAGGGCAGAGGATTCTCCTAGTGACTGGCACCAAAGCAGCGTGTGCCAGCACTGTGCCAAGCACTGCCCATCTCCCACAACACCAGGACATTCCATACCCACGGAATCACAGAACACCCCGAGCTGGAAGGGTTCACAAAGTCTGACTCCTGGCTCCACACAGAACAACCCCCAAAAATCCCCCCTGTACCTGAGAGCATCGTCCAAACATTTCTGGAATTCTGGCAGGCTTGGGGCCGTGACCACTTCTGTAGGTTTTGGAAACTGCAGCTCCCCGAGGCAGCTCTGACCAGCAGCAAAGAGCTCTGGCACTCAGCACTCTGGTATAAATACCCCAGGTGGCATTTAATCAGGATGCTGGGCATCAGGTGTGGGCAGTTTAACCTCTCCCCTGAGCTTGGATTAGGTGCAGGTGGCTCGGATTATTTAATCTAAAAGTGCAAATACAAACAGGGATGTGCTAGAGGAGACAGCCTTCTTTTTCCCCCCCTAGAGACAAGCTCATAGCCTGGGTGGAGATTTGCTCCTAACAAAGGAAACCATTACCAGTGAATTCAAAGGCCTTGGGATGAATAAACACAGTGGTAGAGAGTTGTAAAGGAACCTAAAAGAGGTTTGGAGACGACTCCAAGAGAGCTGGGAAACTTCACTTGAAAAGTCAGTCGGCTGCTTCACAGGCTAAAATCCCACCTGGAGGCTCCTGACAGAAGATGTGAACTTAATAAACTGAACTTTGCCCAGCTGAAGTCCTGATCTCTGGCATCAAACCGAGTCTGACTTGTACTGAAAAGCTGCCTGTCCACCCTGGGCCTGAAAATCCCAAAAGAGAATTCCCACCTTCAAGAAGAGTTTGCTATGGGAAAGTTCATGAGAGATCAGCCACAGATCCAGAGGCACCTGAGGGAGGGGGATACAGGTCCAGATCCAGAGATCCGGAGGGAGGGGGATATAGGTCCAGATCCAGAGCTCCAGAGACACTGGAGGGAGGGGGATACAGGGCCAGATCCAGAGCTCCAGAGGCATCTGAGGGAGGGGGATACAGGGCCAGATCCAGAGATCCGGAGGGAGGGGGATATAGGTCCAGATCCAGAGCTCCAGAGGCACTGGAGGGAGGGGGATATAGGTCCAGATCCAGAGATCCAGAGGGAGGGGGATACAGGGCCAGATCCAGAGCTCCAGAGGCATCTGTGGAAGGCAGGTACAGGCAAGTGCTGGTGCTCAGCACACCAACCCCTCGCTGGAACCACACGGTCCTGCTGGAGCAGGGAAGAGGTTTAGGATCCTCCCTGCTCTCCGGGTAGGTGAGATCAAGGGCCCTGTGTGTTGTAAGAGGAGAAGAAGAGGCAGGGAACACACACAGCTCCAGAGCATCTGTCCTGTGAGCTGCTCCAAAACACAGCAAACATCCTCCAACACATCCCAGAGCTCCTCATGGAGGAGCCAGGATGGGCTCAAGGGCTCCTTTTTCACACTGGTCAGGCCCCACCTGCCTGGATGCCACCCTGCAGACAGGGACCAAGCCTGGCTGCTCATGGCATGAGGAATGAGCACTGGGAGTGCCTGGAGCAGGGAAATGGTGCACAGGGATGGTGCAGGGGAGCTGAGGGGAGTTTGGGGCCTGTCACAGGGCACCACAGCTCTCAGGGCTGTGGGAGGCTGTTAAGCCAGCTGGGTTTTTTCCAACCTCCCTGTATTTAAGTGGGACCCCTGCCAGCATCCACAGCGCTCCCCCGGCCCCAGAGCTTCCCACAGCACCCACAGGGCTTCCTATCCCCAAATCCACCGGCTGGGGGGAGAGGAAGGACACCCCCAGCCCGGACAGCCCGCTGAGACCCCCCCAGTCTTCCCAGCAGCTCCCACCCCCAGTCCACGGAGGTTGCACCGCTGGAGAAAGGAGGTGTGGGAGGGAAATTCCTGCTGTTCACATGCAAAGACGCTCAGCTTTGCCTCAAGTGCCCCATTCCCTCCGCTGCCTCGGGGGATCTTCGGTCTGGCAAAGCTGAGAGGCGTCGGCTCTGGCTCTGGGGATAGTCCTTAGGTTGGAAAAGACCCTTAAGAGAGAGGAGTCGTGGGGAGGGGGGGAAGGTGACAACGTGCTCCCAGCCCGACTGCCGCTCTCCAGGGGAAAAGGAGCCACCGCTGCTTCCTCCGCTGCCCACGCACACTCCCAAAAAACAAAGCCAGGCAGGGAAGGGAGGCGCGGGGCAGCGCCCCGGGAACAGCAGAGACAGGGACACCAGGGCCGCGGGCAGAGCCCTCCCCGACAGCCCTCGGACCCCCGCGCTGCGGGATCGGGGGTGAGGACTGGAGCAGGATGAGACCCCTCGGAGCACCAGCTCAGGGTGGCAGAGGAGGAGCTGATGTGCTGGGCTAACCCAGCGCTCAGGGCCCCCCGTTCACAACCCCAGCAGGGACTGGGGGGGGGGGAGCGAGCGGAGGTAAAGCCCTTCCTGCGGCACAAGGTCAGTCCCCGCTAGAGCAGCGCTGTCTGTCCGATTCTTCGACAGCAGCGGCAGCGCTGCCTCGCCTGTCTCTGCCGCTCCCCGGCGCCGGCAGCTCAGCCTGCAGAGCCATGCCTGCGAGCAGCACCTCGGCCCCAAGGCTTGGCCCTCAGCCCCAACATCGCTGACCTCCAGCGAGCCCTCTGTCCCCCGCCGCCACCCCTTCCTCAGGACCCCCACGCCTGGCCCCAAAAGAGAGCTCTTTCCCACAAAAAGGAGAGTTTTCACCCCCCCTTAGTCCCCTCCACCCCCAGCAACGCTCTGCTCGCCCCAAGTCTGTCGCCTCATCTTCCTCCCCTCATCCCAAAGGGGCTCCCCCTCTCCTGCCCGCAATGCCTCGTCCCGGAGCACAGGTTCCCTGTGCCCCGCAGCCCACCCGGCCCCAAGCCACAGCCCCAGTACCCCTCTAATGAGGGCTCTTCATTAGGGCCACCGTCACCGCAGCCCTTCAGCCCAACCCTCCCCTGCACTGACCAGGCTGTTTCCAAGCTCTTACACCCCACAAAGCGCCCAAAGCCAGGTGACCCCCAGTCTCCGGGGGGGGATCCCTGCGCTCTGCCAGACCCCCGCTGACCACCCATCCTGCCGCCCTGTGGCACACGTGCCACCCTGGCCAACACCTCACAAAGCCTGTGCCCCCCTCCTGGGTCACACCCGTGCCCCTGGGAGGTCACACCAGCGCGTCCCACCTGTGTCACGGGCACCACGACGCGGCACATCGCACCTCGCCGTGCCACCCTCCGGCACAGCGGAGCACCCAGCACCCACCACACCCAACCACGGACCACCGCAGCCACGGCATCGGGCACAGCCCCGCGCACACGGGCCACCGTCAGAACCCGGCGCTGTGGCTCCCGAGCTCCCGCAGCCCGGCCCAGCTGCTGCTGGAGCCGATCCCGGTGCGGTTCTGGTACCGGCACCAGGCTGGGTGCTGGAGCCTCCTGCGCCGCACCCGCTCCCCGTTCCCAGCCCCGCTGGCTCCCCCTGGAAGCGGGACACAGCCCGGTCCCGGCCCCGCGCTGCGGCCGCACCGGGGCCCCGGAGCCCCCCGGGGAGGCAGCGCTGCCCGCGCCGGGCTCTGCGGGGAACGGGAGGGGGACACCGGGGGCACCGGGGATGGGGACACCGGGGACAGGGGTAACGGCGAGCGGGGCAATGGGGAAGGGGCACTGGGGAGTGGGGCAGTGGGGAGCCGGGGCAGCGCAAAGGGGGCACCAGGGACGGGGGCAGCGCAGAGCGGGACAGCGGGGAAGCGGCACGGGGGAGCGGGGCAATGGGGACCCGTCCTGCCGGGCGGGCCCGTGGCCGGTCGCCCCTCGCCCGCGGCGGTGCGAAGTTTGCCGGGTGGTGCCGGGACGGGAGCCGTGGCAGAGCGGGGCCGGCACCGCTCGGGATGCGGGTCGGGGAGCGAGTCGGGAGCGCTCGGGATGCGGGTCGGGGAGCGGGTCGGCACCGCTCGGGATGCGGGGTCGGGGAGAGGGGTCGGCAGCGCCGGGGATGCGCATCAAGGTGCGGTCCGGAGGAGCGGGTGGGGAGCGCCGGGGATGCGCATCAAGGTGCGGGTCGCGGCCGGTCGGGCACTCACCGTCTGCTGCAGGTCGGGGATGCCGATGCGGACGACGATGGCGCCGGGCGCGGGCTCCTCCATGCGCGCCGGGGCCGCCAGCTTGGGGGAGCGGGGCCCGGCGGGGCCCCGGGCCGGGTCGAGCCGCGTCTCCTCCCGCAGGCCGGCGCTCGGCTCCCCGGCGGCGGCGGCGCGGGGCTGGCGCTCCGGCAGCGGCTCCGGCGGCGGCGAGTCCGGGCTCTCATGCTGGCTGCCGGCGGGGCTCAGAGGCATGCTCCGTGCGGCGCGGCGGGCGGCCGGCACCCGCACCGCCACCGCCACCGCCGGCCGAGCTCACAGCCCGCCCGGGGGCCCTGCGGGGGCAAGGACACGTTGTCACCCCGAGGGCATCCCAGGCTGGGACACCCTCCCCCCCCAGGGGTACCCAGGCAGGGGCGTCCCGGGAGGGGACCCCCCCGGCTGGAGACCCCCGTGGTGCACGTGGGCATCCCCACGGGGACCCCACAACCCTCCCCCAGCAGGGATTATCCCCCAGTAGTGATCGTTCCCCGGGAGGAGCCCGAAAGCAGAGCCCCACAGGGACCCCACGGAAGCCCCCAGCAGGGACCATCCCTCAGGAGGGGACCCCCAGGAGTGACACCCCGGGAGGGGACCCCTGGCTGGAGACCCACGTGGTGCACAAGGGCATCCCCACGGGGACCCCACAACCCTCCCCCAGCAGGGATTAATTATCCCCCAGTAGTGATCGTTCCCCGGGAGGAGCCCGAAAGCAGAGCCCCACAGGGACCCCACGGAAACCCCCGGCAGGGACCGTTCCCCAGGAGAAACTGGGAGCAAACCCCCACTCTGCACGTGGGCATCCCCACAGGGACCCCATGAAAACCCCCGGCAGGGACCATCCCTCAGGAGGGGACCCCCACACAGGCATCCCGGGAGTGACACCCCGGGAGGGGACCCCTGGCTGGAGACCCCCGTGGTGCACATGGGCATCCCCACAGGGACCCCACAACTCTCCCCCAGCAGGGATCACGCCCCAGGAGTGACCATTCCCTGGGAGGAGCCTGAAAGCAGATCCCCACTCTGCACTTGGGCATCCCCACAGGGACCCCGCAGAACCCACCCAGAAGGGATCATCCCCCCAGGAGTGACCATTCCCCAGCAGGGGATGCCCAACCTCCACTTGGGGACCTGGTGGGACCCCCACACTCCACCCAGGCCCACAGTGACCTCCTGCAGGACCCTTAACTCCCCACACACAGAGATTCCCATCTCGGGGACCTCACCTGGGAACCCCCAACCAACCACGCAGGAATGTCCCAAAGCCACCCCACGGGGTTCCTCATGGCAGGGGCACTGTGGGACAGCCCCCCAGCCGGGATCCTTGTGTTGAGGGTCTTGCAGAGGACCACCCCCACCCTACACAGGAATCCCCCACATCAGGGACCTCTCCAAGAAGCTCCACACCATGAAGGGATCCCCCTGTCACTGCACGCCCTCCCCAGTCCCCACTGCAGTGTCCCCCAGCCATCCAGGAGGGACCCTTCCTCACCCTGTCAGCAGAGCATGGACCTGTCCCAGGAGTGCAGACACCCAGACCCTCTGCTCACCCAGGGAGGGCTCGGGGTGCAGGGCACAGGGTCTGGACACAGCACCCAGGATGGGTTGTCCCAGCTCCTGCAGCCTGCCCTGCTCCTTGGATCTTCCCTCCACACCACCACCAGTGCCCCCAGTCTGTCCCAGTAGCCCTGTACCCCCCTTGTAACCACAATCCCCCATCTCAGCACCTGCACCAGCGTTCCCAGTCTGTCCCAGTAGCCCTGTGCCCCCTTGCAACCATGTTCTCCCATCTCCACACCTGCTCCAGTGCCTCTGGAATTCCTGCCTGGCTGCCAGGGGGACTCAGGAGGGAGGCTGGACACCAGCAGGATGTGACTCGTGGGGCTCAGCTGCCCGTCTTGGGATTTTCCAGGGAAAAGCCCCCATTCTGGCTCTGTAAAGCTGCTGATGCTGCAGTTGCTGGAGCTCTGCCCACCCTGAGGTCCCCCACACCCCAGCTTGGAGGCCCAAACAGCCTGACTGACCCCTGGGGCTGCAGCTCCAGCAGCTCCTCCACCACCCCTCAGGCCAGAGACTGGCTGCCAGGGGCTTCCCAAAGCGCCTTGTTCTTGGACAACAGGATGCAGTTGTGGCCTTGTGCCAAAGTTTTGGGAATGGGAGGACGGCTGACCTGTGTTCCCACCCCAGAGACCTGCCTGGGGTCACACACCACAGCGTGGGTGCTCCAGCGTGGAGCTCCAGCGTGGAGCAGCCACACGAGCAGCCACGTCCCCGGGCTGTTCCCTCTGCCTGTGAGGGCTAAGGAAGGGCAGGAACACTCTGCATGCCCAGGGTCGAGCCCTCACTCCCGGGCAGGCACTGCCCTGCCAGGAGCAGATGGAATGCCGGGCTGAGCCCTGCAGGACTGTGCATGGGACCGTGTCCGGTCCACGGCTGGCTGCGATTCAAGGCTTTAATCTACGTGACAATCCTTCAACAGAAATAGCCCCCAAACCACTGAGAGCTGGAGAGATTTACGGCATGGCCTGGATCTGTCCAGGAAATGAGTAATGGCCCTTCCTTCGGCCCTCCTGCCCCGAGGCCCGGGGACTGCACAGGGCAGGAATCACCAGGAGCCGGACCCTGCCAGGGCATCCAGCCCCAAAAACTCTCCCAGCTGGAGCAGCATCTGCTGCAAACACCCTGCACTGGCAGAACAGGTGAGGCAGGGAGGGATGGCTTCATCAACAGACTTGGAAGTTTGGGGTCATGGGGTGAGTTTAACGGGTCCTGAGCACGAGCTCTGCAACTCCGCGGCACGAGAACGGAAACCGTGGCTGGATCCGGACAATGAGATCAGCCCAGGAGCAACTGGCCGGTCTCTGGGCTCCTCCTTTCCTTCAACCCACATCTGCTGGTGAGCCACAGGTCCCTTCTGTGCTGCTGCTGCTGCACAGCTGCCAGGATTAGGGAGCCTGGGAGCCTCCTGCACCCTGCATTCCCATTACTGTCAGCGTGGGAGGACCCGGTGCCACGACAGTTCGAGCCATCCCCATCCAGTCCCTTTGTGAGGTGTGAGAAAACATTCCTGCCCAGCAGCAGATCCAGCCAAATCCATGGCTTTCCAGGGTGCCTGTGCCACGGCATCACTCCCATTCCAGGGAGTCTGGACACTCCTGTGTCTCCAGGGAGTCTGGACACAGCTTCCGAGTAGGGTCCAAGGTTGGTGACATTGGAAAGGCAGCTTTGGAGCAGACAAGGCCACCTGGCAAAAGCAAGGGCTGCAGGGGACAGGCTGGATCTGGGGCTTTGGGCTGGGGACACCAGGGACAAGGTGGGGCTGGCGAGGGGAAGAAGTGGCTGAGATGACCATGAGTCACAAACAGCTCTGGCTGTGGCCTCTCCCAGCACAACAAAGGAGAAGAGGGGTGAGGAAGGGAGATGGTAAAAAAGCCTGTGGGACAAAGGGACAGAAAAGGGAGCACAGAAAGTCTGAACTGGCTTCCCAGTGCCAGAGGGCAGGGTTGGATGGGATATTGGGAAGGAATTCCTGGCTGGGAGGGTGAGGAGGCCCTGGCACAGGTTGCCCAGAGAAGCTGTGGCTGCCCCTGGATCCCTGGAAGTGTCCAAGGCCAGGTTGGACGGGGCTTGGAGCAACCTGGGCTGGTGGAAGGTGTCCCTGCCCATGGCAGGGGTGGGGCTGGATGAACTTTAAAGTCCCTTCCAAACCCAAACTCTCTAACTGGGAAGCCACAGAAGTCCCTGGCTGGGATTGCTCCCTGAGGATGGCAGTGGCCATGGGAAGGGCAGAGCCTTTCCAGACGTGGCAGTGAGGGGGAATGGCTCTGCCAGCCTCTCAGCTGGGCCTGAAAGCAGCCAAAGGCTGGACACCAAACGTGCTGCCATCACCACCCAGCTCCTGCCACAGGCCCGGGACGAGGACTGGGACTTCAATTAGTGACCTGGAGGAAGGGATCTAACAGCACCTTCATGAAATGGGACATGAAACTGGGAGCAGGAGAGTGAAAAGGCCTCAAAAAGGTCAGAAACGAGCAGGAGGAACACGAAGTCAGCAGAGAGGAGCACTTTGGATCCATCCACGGTGTCCCATGGGATCTGACCCATGGCCCTTCCAAGCAAATCCCCCTCTGCCCAGGCTGGCAGTGGTGCCCACCTGAGTTCTATTCAACTATTCCCCATCACTGATTTCATTTATTTCCTTTTTTTTCTGTCCTGTTATTTCACTAGGGGGAGAAATTAAACGCTCCAGATGGTAATCACCAGGATTATTCTTGCTTTTTTTTTCCCCCCCAATCATCTGGTACCTCATTAGTTCCCAATAATATTTAAGACACAACTGTGAATGGTTGGAAAAAACGCACTGGCCACCCCCAAACTCCATTATAGACTTGCAGAGTCATTCACGTTCATTTTCTGTTATTAAATCAACTTCTCTGCCGAGGAAGAAAAAAAAAATATCACTTATCTTTTTTTTTCAAGTCGAGTATCTCAGAAATCACAATCCAATGAGTCTTATTCTAACACCAGGGAAAAAACGGGTGAAAAATCATCAAAGGGAGTTACAAAATCTTTCAGGGAGATTTTCTGGTGACAGGAACAAACCAGCAACGCTTCCATCAAAGCAAGTCACGCCTTGCCAGTCTAGCAGAGCTCCCTGCACGTGCCACCGGGAGCAGCAGCAAGTGAAACCCAAAGCAGAGCACTTTGCTGGGATGCCTGAGTGTTCTTTGGATTCCTGAGCACCCCCAAGAGGTTCGTAGTTGAGCCAACTTCACCTCTCGTGCTGTGAGAAACAGCATTCCCTGATGGCCTCTCCATCACCCCGCTGTTACAGAGCCTAAGCCACCTTCCTATCTCTCACAAATCCCCCTGCCAGGAGCAGCCATCCCATAGGGATCATCCCACGCTGTGCTGGGATCATCCCAGGGCTCTCCCTTGGGGCTCCAAGTCCCCCCGAATCAGAGGCACCTCAGAACCACGACCATCCCTCAGTCTGCCATGGAATTATTCCCCCTCTGGAGGGAAGCTGGCACCCAGCTGGGAGAATCCTGGGAAATGTGCAGCGCTGGGACCCAGGAATGTGCACCAGGTAAGGTCTGAGGGAGACAAGCAGCCCCAGGGTGTGACAAGAGCAGGAGGAAGAACCCAGGCAAGTGGTGCCAGCCAGAACTGCTCCAGAGACAGGGAAGCTGGCACCTCCCTGAGGAGAAGGGAAG